GGAACAACAGACTGGTTCCAAATAGGAAAAGGAGTATGTCAAGGCTGTATACTGTCACCCTGCTTATTTAACTTCTGTGCAGAGTACATCATGCGAAATGCAGGGCTGGATGAAGCACAAGCTGGAATCAAGATTGCCGGGAGAAATATCAATAACCTCAGATATGCAGATGACACCACCCTTATGGCAGAAAGTGAAGAGGACCTAAAGAGAATGTTGATGAAAGTGAAAGAGGAGAGTGAAGAAGTTGGCTTAAAGCTCAACATTCAGAAAACTAAGATCATGACATCTGGTCCCATCACTTCATGGGAAATAGGTGGGGAAATGATGGAAACAGTGACAGACTTTATTTTCTTGGGCTCCAAAATCACTGCAGATGGTGACTGCAGCCATGAAATTAAAAGACGCTTGCTCCTTGGAAGAAAAGCTATGACCAACTATTAAAAAGCAGAGACATTACTTTGCCAACAAAGGTCTGTCTAGTCAAAGCTATGGTTTTTCCAGTAGTCATATATGGACGTGAGAGTTGGACTATAAAGAAAGCTGAGTGCCGAAGAATTGATACTTTTGAAGTATGGTATTGGAGTGACTCTTAGAGTCCCTTGGACTGCAAGGAGATCCAAGCAGTCCATCCTAAAGGAGATCAGTCCTGAATATTCTTTGGAAGGACTGATGCTAAAGCTGAAACTCCAATACTCTGGCCACCTGATGTGAAGAGCTGAATCACTGGAAGGACCCTGATGCTGGGAAAGATTGATGGCAGGAGGAGAAGGGGTGAAAGAGGATGAGATGGTTGGATGGCATCACCAACTCAGTAGACTTGAGTTTGAGCAAAGCTTCGGGAGTTGGTGATGAACATGGAAGCCTGGCATGCTGCAGTCCATGGAGTCGCAAAGGGTCGGACTCAACTGAGCGACTGAACTGAATTGCCCTGGTGGTTCAGCAGTGTAGACTCCAGGCTTCCAATGCAGAAGCCTGGGTTTCTATGATTCCACTTGCCCCTTGACATGCCCCAAAAATTGAAAAAAGAAATAAATAGTCACGATGGCTAACAGAGCAATGAGCATGGGATGTCACCCTTGACTCTTCTCAAGCCCTTCCTCCCGCTGCACCCTCTCGGTCACACACCCTGTCATTCTCACCTCCCTGACCCAAGTCCAGAATCCTTCCTCTGTGAAGCCTTGGCCACCACGTAGCCCTTCTGGAGCACTGTGTGGCTGCCTGCTAAGCCCCCTACCAACTCTCGTTCCCCTGCAAGCTCTTCACTTGCTGTGCCAGGAGGAATGTTTTAATGCGAAGCTCGGGTTGTATCTCTGTCCCTCTCAGAACCTCTCCTGGACTGCCCATTGTGTTTCAAAGGAAACGCAGCCTGCACATCTCCTGCCGACCTGTAACCTCCACTTCTGCATGCGGGGAGGGGAGGGTCCTTTGCACTTGCTGCTCCCCTTGCAGGGACACTCTTGTTTGCGCTCCCCACCTGCTCAGAGAAGACAGCCCTGCCATCTCCCAGCGGACACTGTGTTGTATGTAGAGAGTGTGTGTGTGTGTTGTATGTGTATGTGCGTGCATGTGCGTCCACGGCCCCAGCTAACGCCCCAGAGGCTTTTGGCGATGGCCCCTCTCCTCCGCGTCTGGAGCCCCACCAGCACCACCTGCTGTCGCCTCCAGGCCGTTCCTTTGGTTGGCTCCTGGAGTGCCCTGGCGCCAGCTTTGCTCCTCTCACACGTCTGTTCTTCCTTCAGCACACCGCTTGAATGCCTCTTCCTCTGGGGAGCCTCCTGATTCCCCAGGCAGAAGGGGTTGCTGCCCTCCCTCGCCCCCAGGCCCACTGTGTTCCCAGCATTGCTTGTCATTTCCATGCCTCTCTGAGACCCTGCACCCAGCGTGGAGCCTGACACTCAGGACCTGCTCGTGGAACGGATCTCTGCCCCTCAGAGGGGTTGTGTTTGCGAACCTGAGCTCTGGAGCCCAGCTGGCTGTTTTCAGTCTCAGATCTGTGACCCCTACTGTGTGACCTTGAGCAAGTGCTTTGACTTCTCTGAGCATCAGTCCCCTCACCTGTGAGATGGGGTAAGAGCTGTGCCTGTCCGCGGGTTTACTGTGAGCCCAGAGCAGGTAACACGGAAAGTGCTCGGAAGTGTACGTGGGGTACAGTAGGGGCTCAACGCACATTGGTGGCTGGTGTATGTCTTGTACCTTGCAGGAGCCTGGCTTGGAGTTGCCTGCATTGAATGCTTGCTAAACTGACATGTTCTCCTCTCTGTTTCCAGAGCTGGACAGAGGCCTCACTGAGCCCCAGATTCAGGTGGTTTGCCGCCAGATGCTCGAAGCCCTCACCTTCCTGCACGGCAAGAAGATCATCCACCGGGATCTGAAAGCTGGCAATGTGCTCATGACCCTCGAGGGGGACATCCGGCTGGGTAAGGGGCGTCTAGGGCGAGGTGGGAAGGCGGAGCCCCACGCTGCCCACCTGAGGTTTTGGCCCAGCCTCTGTGGACAGGAGGGAGCGTGAGTCCGCACTCCCATGGGATGCTGAGGTCCTTCCGGGTCTGTCCCTGTCCACCGGGGCACGGTTGCCATCGTGGCTGCATCTCCCCAGGGTTCTCAACTGAGGGAGAGTTTATCCCCCAGGGACATTGGCAGTGTCTGGAGACATCTCTGATTGTCACAACTAGGCATGGGGAGAGACCCCTGGAGCTGGTCTGTAGAGGTGATGGCTACCCAACACCCTGTAGCGCACACACGGCCCCTCACTACCAACAGTAAGCTCGTCCCCGGGCTGGCGGCGCCTCACGGGGGCAGTGGTCCCACCCCTTTTGCTCTTGCCTCCCATAGATAGAATTTGAGGGAAAGTGACAGATGGAGGTCCATTTGCAGGTGGAAAACAGTACCTCACGGGCATATATCGAAACCTTACTTTTTTTCATTACGACTCCCCTCTCTGTTTTTTTTCCCAACTGTGGTAAAATATACATAGGGTTACCAGATGACACAGTTGTAAAGAATCCACCTGCCAAGGCAGGAGACGTGGGCTTGACCCCTGGGTCAGGAAAATCCCCTGGAGGAGGAAATGGCAACCACACCAGTACTCTTGCCTGGAAAATCCCATGGACAGAGGAGCCTGGTGGGCTACAGTCCATGGGGTCACACAGAGTTGGACCCCACTGAACAACTGAGCACACACACAGAATATACATAACTTAAAATTTGTCATCTTAGCTGTTTGTCGGTGTCTAGTTCGGGGGCATGAAATGCATTCACACTGCTGCGCGGCCGTCACCATCATGCATCTCCGGGACCTTGTCATCTGCCCGAGCCGTGCCCATCACACACGTCCCTCCCTCCTCTCTGACCCGGCTCCTGGCAGCCGCCGTTCTCCTCCAGGTCTCTCTGAATACGACTGCTCTACAAGTGTGATCACTTGTGTGTTCGTGACGGGCTTATTTCTCTTAGCACAATGTCCTCAAGGTCCGTCCATGTGGTAGCCTGTGTCAGAACTTCTTTTTATTTTTAATAAGTTTTTAAACCAAAATAACACATGTCTGTGCCCTCTGCTTTTACCACCTCCTTTCCCTGTCCCCACCCCCGAGACAATAGCTTTTAACGCTTCTTGCATCTACTCCTTCATTGTTATATAAATGCCTATAATGCTATTTTTTAAAGTAATGATTTTTGTTGTTTGATGAAAAAGCTATGTATGTTTGTTATAGAAAATTCACATAGTACAGGAAGGTTTAAAGGGAACGTCAGCAAGTGCCTGCCGTCTCATCCTCCAGACCTCAGCCCTGAGGGTCATCCCAGATACCTCTGCCTGCATCTTTGTCCGTAGAAGGATGTGCAGATAGAGAGGATTTAGGGGGTGATATTAACCATAGAGAGATGGTAATCTCTTGTTAATCGTTTGACTACATTCAACTCTCCTTTCTACTAGCATCCTCCTCTGATATTAAATAGCTCATTCATCTGCACCCGCTCCTCAGCGCTGACCTTCCAGCACAGAAGTGTCATGTGTGGTTTCTCTAGCAGCTCCCCCGTCTCCGTCTGTCTTCGTTTTTGGCTGTGCTGGGTCTTAGTTGTGGCACACGGATCTTTGTTGCGGTGTGTGGGCTCCTGTCTGATTGGGTTGCACAGGCCACAGGGCGTGCAACTCAGTAGTTGGAGTGCTCCGGCTTAGTTGCCCTGGGTTATATGAAATCTTAGTTCCCTGAGTAGGGGTTGAACTCATGTTCCCTGCATTGGAAGGCAGATTCTTAATCACTGGACCACCAGGGAAGTCCCTACCTTTGTCTCTTTAAGGAACATTTTAATTACATCCACAAGACATCGCACCACCACTGAGCCCCTGTGATAGAGAACCGCAGCAATAATCAGGAGCATTGGCACAGAGATGGCACGGCTCCTCCATCCCCTCTTTGAGGACTCTGAAGCTCAGAGATGGGAGGGCCTGCCACAGACCTGCTGAGGAGAGCCAGGGCCGAGCCCAGGCCACTGCTCACCTCCCGGCTCCCCCACCTCCACAAGTGCCAGGAGCCGACAGCTGAAGGCCTTACACGAGTGATGCAAGACCAGTGGGTTCTCAGAATTCTGAACCTCAGCTTGCTGGGTACATCCCGTGTGGTTTCTGTCTGTGGAGGGGCTGAAGAACCTGCATTTCTAATAAGCTCCCAGCTGATGCTGCTGATCTGAGGGACCACACTTTGAGAACCACAGCTCTGTACCCTCAGGAACCAAAGCCTGAGGTGGCAGCATCAGCAGCATTGCCTGGGAGCTTGTTAGAAGTGCTCTGTCCCCCAGAGGGTGGGGTTGGTGCTGTCTTGAAGTGAGCCGTGTGAGAGGGCTTCTATACCCAGGCATGAGCGAGGCCACAGCCCGTTCTGTTCCTGAAGACAAGGCTCCCTGGGACCCTGAGGCCCAGCCGCCATCTGCTGTGGCTGTGTTTCCTCCTGTTTGAGCCTCTTAGCTGGAGAGGTTAAGAGCTTGCCCCCTGGAGCCTGAGAATGTCTGTGTGCTTAGTCACTCAGTCGTGTCCAACACCTTGCAACCCCATGGACCATAGCCCGCCAGGCTCCTCTCTCCATGGGATTCTCCAGGCGAGAATACTGGGGTGCATTGCCATGCCCTCCTCCAGGGGGCCTTCCCGACCCAGGGATCGATCCCAGGTCCTCCCTCATTGCAGGCGAGTTCTTTACTGTCTGAGCCGCGAGGGAAGCCCAGGGAGCCTAAGAGATCTGGGTTCAGATCCCAAGTCTGCACCCAGCTCTTTGACCCTGGATATACATGTCACCTCACCTGCTGCCTTTCGACTTTCTCATCTGTATAACTGGAGCAAAGGCTCATCCAGAGCTTTGTGATACTGGTTTTAAGAAGATACATAGAGTGAGCTCTCCAGAAAAGCCAGCTGTGATTACTGTTGTTTTGTTAAGTGTCTGGTGTGTGCTAATCCCTGTCCGGTGCTGGGCTCTGGGGACACCAGGACAGAGACCCCAGTCCTCCTCCTGCAGGGTTCCCAGGCTGGTGGGGAGACACGGGAGTGTCGGGCCTGGGGAAGGAGCCGGTGCTGGGGTGGGGTGTAGGGAAGGGTAGTTTGTTCCCCTAGCTGGGCCTGAGGGTGGGTGTTTAGAAGACACTTGGTGAGAGGATAGTGTGCGCTGAGTTGTGAAAAGGCAGGTGGGTACTTGCCAGTAAGCCAGCTTGGGCAGAGAGGTCTAGCCTTGTGGGCAGAGGCACTGAGTAAGGCCCAGTAGGGTATTCTGGGGGGAGTGATACTAAAAATAATAACACATACATGTTGGGTCTGTGAAGGATCATCTAGATGCCAACCAGTAGACAAAGTGCTTTCTAGGTGTCATCTCATTTACTCAGCACTCCAGTGGACACTTGGGAGAGGGGAGGGGACTGTACCCATCATGGTGTGGCGCCGAAGCCCACACTAGCATGGGATGCTCAGGATCGGTCCGTGGAGGGGAGAAGCCGCAGAGTTTGGACTCGGGTCCCTCTGGCTCCGGCTCTGTCAAAGGTGGAGGGAAGGCAGGGAAGGGCCATGTTAAGCAGTCTTGGGATAGGAGAGTCTCATGATGTGCCCTGGGGAATTCAAGGCAAACCTTCGGCTCAGTCTTCAGGAACACGTCAGTCAGAGAAGGCAGGGCCCAGAGAGCCTGGGTCTGCAGCAGCCGAGAGGCTCACCAGTGGGGAAGCTCAGGGTGGAGACAGCAGGCTAGGATGTGCTCAGTGGGGTCTCAGTTCCCATGCTGTTTCCCCTGCCACGACCCCACAGTCCGGGGGTGGGGACAGACTCCAGAATCCCACCTGGAACCCAGCAGAGATGGGATGGAAGCAGATGGGGGCATCAGCTTTCCCAGTGACTTGGCAGATGCCGTTGAGAAAACCAGGAAGTCAGCTAAGGAGGAAGAACAGCTCAGGGAGAGTTGAATGTGCGAGTATTTACACAGTTACCGCTGGGCCCTGGGAGCTGTGGTGTGGACGCCTGCTAAGACCTAATATTCTGTTTTGGAAAATCATCTTTCCCCCTGGGGCCTGGAATCTGCAGCCTGGCAAGCAGTGGAGGAAGCTTGGGAGGTGGGGTGGCAGTCTGTCTGCCTCTTCCTAGGTCCCTGGGACTTTCTGGGGCCCCTGGAGGCACCCCCACCCCCCTGCATGACGTTATGCAACCCAAGGCTGCGTTAGAGAATTGCTCAGCAGCTCTATCTCCCAGGCAAGGATGTCGCCTCACTGGAGACACTGTGCTTCTCAACGGAATGGGAATAGATGGAAAGCAGCACAGTGAACTGAGCAAAGTGTGGGCCCTAGACACAGACAAGCCTGGTTCAGATCCTGATTCTGCCACTTCTGAGCTGAATAAGCACATTTAACCATTCAGGCCTCAGTCTTTTCATCTGTGCAATGGGTGTAACAACAGAATGGCCCTGCAGCGTTGTTGTGACCTGTGAGCTAAAGCACAAAGTGACTATCACAGGGAAGCTAAGGGTTCTGTTCCTCTTGCTGCTAGGCATTTGGTTTCTTCCTCGTGTTAAGTGTTTACTTCTGTCTAGGATTTCAAACTTCCTCTGAGATTCACGGGATAGTTGCCAAGCAGAGCAGGCATTCCAGCTCTGGGTGGGTGTGAAGAAGTTCTCCCTGGCTGATGGGGATCCATTTGTGCAGAGAGAGAAAGGAAGAGTGTCTGCTCTCCGAGACAGTTGGGATATAAAGTGGGATAAGGACTCTGAGGTCCAGAGATCCGTGTTCTTGTCCTAAATCTGTCCTCGGCCTTGTCCTTGGCCTTTTGAACTATAGTGTCAGACAGAGTGGGCTAATAGTTCTTACCTCATGAATTGGTATGATGATTTAATGACACACTACATGCAAAGCATCTATAGGTGCCCAGCCCATCAGAGAGGCTTGTCATATGTTGAGTTTTTTC